TGTTAGCTTATTTGATGGTTTCAAAGTCAAGAAAATTCAAAGAGAGTTACTTTAATAGCAGTAAGTAGCTCTGAGTTAGCGCGAGGTATGTTGGGTAGATAAGCATGCGATTTTCCTGCTTGTTAAAGGAGCAGACACTGGCTTGTTAAAGAGCTGCTCAGTTTTCTTTCACTTAGTTTAATCTTGCAGCTTCTGATGTCAGATATTCCTGTTGAAGTTTGCATTTTCAAGTAACCAAAAAATTCATGTGATTGGCGATAGAGCTCACTACAATGACTTACCACTTATGGGTACTTGTAAATTACATACTCATGCTTATACACCTGCATTTTAGAGCGTGGACATGGGTCATTTCATCAGTGTAGTATATCTCACTGTGCTCTGTCCTACCTCCCGCTTACTTTGAGCCCACTTATCACAGTTTGTTAGTAAGACACGGTAAATGTGAACTATCTTCCAAAGCTGCAAAAGATTGTGTGCCGTTAAATTTGTTGGGTGATATTCAAAGATGGAGTGGTGAAGAGTGGCAACACAAACCACCAAACAGCAGAGTAAGGGTTGTGAAGCATTTGGGAAGGAATGATTCAAGTAGAGGTGCATCACATTGACGAGGATTGACACGTTGACCCCAATCCAGGTGTCGAAAACATGCCTAAAAGGAATGCTAGGTGTAGGTGATGCGACCAGATGCTTGCATCTACATCAAACAGCCGAGTATTAGCCATGGGAGCTTCTGAGTAACTGGGTCTCATCCATATGCCGTGCAGTGACTACGACGCATCGTTTTCGCTTCCTCTAAATGGGTTATAGTGATGCAGCGTAGCCAAACTATTTACCAAATGACTCATGAGAAGCGTTGGTTTTAGTGCTGCAACATGAACAGTCCAAATACACAACCGATTGTCGCTATTCAAGGTACCCAATCACCCGCTATCCATCCAACGGACTCTGCTTCTAACATGTGCACCGCTCTGCCCGTGTTGTGTGTGTGAGTAGGATGAGCTACAGAAGCAATTGCTTACCTTGAAATTCTGGCCTAACTAGTGAAACAGAGATCTATCGACTTGATACGTGTTAATACAACTATATTTACCCAAATATGCTGTCAATGTCGCTAATATTTCAGTTCTTTTGGAAGTAAGTCATCCATTGATGCATCACTCAGTGCCTTTGGAGAAAACATCGACATCATCAAAATGCAGTCTTCAACTCGTCTCACGTATGTTTCAACCGCAGTATTTAAGGTAAAATACGAGGTCTGTACCAAAAACCCTAATAAAGCCAGTTTTCGAATTTAAACCTTTATTTGTCCAGAGACTAACGCCAAACTAAAGCCAGTAGGTACGTTATGAACCAGTGTTTATGCTGTAGAAATACTATATAAAGGCTGTTAAACTTTTTTAGGACCATTAATCCATTCCCATCGTCACTACAACTATACGATGTATACGTCCTCTGAAACGTTTTAGCATTTGCTAGTATATCTGATTCTTAATTTATAAATTAGTATTTGAAGAATACCGTTCTTATTGTCATGAACAGTATACCACTTGTGCAGCTTGGAATAACCACTCAATCATTACTAACTTCACTGGAGGCACACAGATGTGACGTCCAAACCCAAACTCCACCACATGCATGACACACTAATTATTAAGAGGATGGACTAAATAGGAAGGAGAAAAAGAAATTTTTATGACAATTAGGCATCCAGGTGTACGTATGAGCCATTTATTGATGAGTTATTTCTCTCTAACCTCCTGACACTATCCAATTTTGCCTAAACCTGCACCCAATGTACAGGCGCAATACATTTTTGTCACCAAGGTAACATGCGGTCAGATAACACCGATTTAGTGGTTGAGTTACCGATACTGATTCGCGTGGCAAGAATGGATACTACTACCGAATCAAGTTATAATACATTGTAAAACCCACACACCATGCAATATGCCTTCTTCCAGTCAACCTTTAGGATCCAACGCTTTGAAAACGAAGGTAGAGCAGAAAAGCAACGGAAATACCACGCATTTATGCAAACGCATGTGTTCCAATTTCGAATGCGGGATTGCGAAATCTGATCCATGCGCATACATTAAGTGGATGTCATGGGCTTCAGATCATGATTTATGTTTGCCAACTGGAGCGGTTTTAATGGTTGAGCAAAGTGGCTGGTTGGCATTTGTGAAATAGCGAATTTATGTCGCTGTCAGTTATTAAACCCTACCAGGGAGATGACTGTTGGAACCCCTTCATTTAAGCTTGCTTTACATCTTGCAATTGACTTCTTAACAACTCCTTTCATTTTTACTTGAACAATGTCTTTCTTTAATGGCCAAAAAATAATTAAGGCGAATTACAATAATAGATACGGTCTTGTTGAATTTTGTTGATAGTTAATATATTCCCCCAAAAAAGTAGTATTTTCGCAATCTCAGCGGCATGATGTTATCGATCATTTCATCTTTGAAAATTCCTAAACTTCTACCTTGAACTGTCATACAGATAACCTTTAGTCACAGACAAACATTTCGAAACCAACTACATGCAATACTTCTACGGAGGTTGTTTAAAAACTTCAACAGGACAAAATAGTTTACATGTCTGGAATTGTATCGTGGTAGTAGTTAACTACCCTTAATAGAGGGGCCCAACAATGAATCCGGTGGAAAAAGCTAGCTATTGTCGAACCAGGTGGGAAATGCTCTTTCTTCTTACCCCTTTTTTATAAAAATAAGCTTCATTTGGGCTACCTTTGTGATTTAATACGCTTGACGGACGGTGTGGTGGTCGCAAGAGAATTCACCTCACTTGGAGCTTAGTCAAAGCATGGTAATGACAATATCATTGAAAGGATACTTAGTAATTCCTCGATTAGTGCTCATATCCTTTAAAAACTGAATAAATATGAGTCATTTGTAATTTTTGCAATCTCTAAACATATTTGTAAGAGCATTTGAGGTTTCTTGCGTAACGGTATTGTCTTAGAAACTAAACCATGAGGACCAAAAAACTTATTTGTTGATACATTAGCAAAAGCATCATTAATCGCGATATTAGTTTAACTTGCACCAACAATAAATTATACTCCACGAACGAAAGGCATCCTTAATAATGAAAGCCTTGACCCCATGCATCTACAGCCAATCCCAAAATCTCACCTTACAACCTGGTAGTAAATCACGGTTGCCACAAACAGTCAGGACAATAGAATACATGAATTTGACTGAAATACGTCTTTGCTGTCTTAGTTCAAAACATAGTGGTATGTGTAGACGACAGTCGGATGCTCATGCAAATATTGCATCTACGCAAGCCACGCATCATTTCTGAAGCCTGCATGAAATCTCCGTGGTGAAAAATTAGCTTATCAGGAGACTAAAATGATGAGTCAAAATTGGCAGTGTTTTTATCTCCCACCATTGTCGTCTTCGACGGAAATCTTAAAAAGGGGATTAGGAATAACACGAATCAAAGGAACTTATTAGCGTCAATCTAAAAATAGCATGATCCTAGCCTATAGGACATTTCAACCTCCTCCCTCTTTTCCTTAGAAGAGGGAAATTTTTTTTATAGTGCCTCAGGTACTAATATTAGAGGTTGCGGGGTAAGGTATTATTAGGCGCCGTAGAAGCGTTTGATCTGGTGGGACTGAATGCACCAGAGGTTGAATAGACCCACGAAGGAAAGGAAGCTGAAGAGGATGGTGAGAGTGAGCGCCAGTGCCCACCCGAAGAATCGAGTGACGAGACCGGTGGAGGAGCACCCGGTTGCCACAAGAGCCTCGAGGATGTAGTGCATGTTGGCACAGGGCATTATCTCTGTCACCAATCCATTCAGTGCACTTGTGACTTCTTCGAGGATCATTACCAGTAGGTCCAATAGCATTGGCTTTATATCTTTTTGCATGACGCCTTGCAACGCAGCTTCATTTTGAAGGAGCTGAAATGAGGTAGATATTACAGGTACTTCTGTGAGATACAGTATAACTGGAAACATTGAATTAAAGTATGTTCAATGATTTAGCATCAAACGAAATTATTTTATTCAGTGGAAGGCCTTGTTGCTTATGCCCTAATGCACTGGATCATTTTTAGCTAGTGTTGGAAGTTGCCCCATCAGTCGAGAAACAACTTCCAACTTATATTAACATGTAATGATGGTTGGTTTTGGTAAGCAACAGGATCCAGAAAAACTATTTTTGGGATTAATCAGCACCACATTTGTCTACCGTTTGATGTTGTCCACCTATTAAGTACTGAGGGTACTAAGTGCTTAATCGACTATCAGTGTTACTGATTGACAAGATCGAAATGCTTCTTGTGATGGGTGGTATTCACATTTTGAAAACTTAGAAGTCTTTGCTTTAGAACATGATCACGAAGTGAAACCGTGGGAAAGAGTAAAACTTGAGGGAAGGAATGGGGCTGCAGCGGACAGTCCACCAATCGCTACGGGTAACTGCTTTGATTTCAAGTCGTGGAATCTGAGGAATTATGCCTTCTCTCAATCACCCTCACCTTTCATTGCCTCCAAGCTACCAACCATTCTAATTTATCAGAATCTTCATTAGAGTCGTTCACCAGCATTGCCGTTGGGGTGCACATGGTGGATTGGACAGATTCGCATCAGAGAAGAAATTGGGATGAATGTGGAAGAAAAGCAGATCTGCAGCTTTCAGTACTGTGGGCAACACAATTTAGGATTTGCATCTATGCTTGAGCCTAAGTGCGCAATAGTTGGAACTCGTTTGCTAAATGATGCAAACCAATTTGCGTTTGGTTGACACCTTTGTCGTTCAAGTCAAAAGCACTAAATTAAGAGAACTTGAGGCAAATAAAAAGGCAAGTCACTTCATCACTTGTGCTCATGAAGTGTTGGCATCGAGTATCAGTAAATTAGAAGGCCCGTTCACTTAAATTGGTTGGGATGAGAACATGAAACACATTTGTGTGAGATTCCGTATTTTGGGCGTTATTGAATCTAGCCTTGTTAGGAATATTTGAAACTATGAATATTTAAACGAAACAAATTATGGTTACCAAATACGCCACATGCTCACTGGAATAACGCTCTGTCTCTTTTCAGAGAATGTTTGTTCAATTTGCATTGTCAGTCCAAACGGTCATTCCATCGGATCGTTCATTGGCATGCCGATTCAGATGAAATGACTTTACTATTTGTAAGTGCCTCAAGCGGAGAAGATCTAAAGACCTACTTCATGAAACAGTTTCTGTCTAAGGGATTCTTGAAGTGGACATCCTTATCGAGGGAGAAGATGGCGTTAAGGTCATGCAGAACAGATGAAATTCGCGTGCATCATTTTAGAGTAGAAGTAGTGAACCACTCAGCCCAATCATCCTCCCCAATTCTACCCTTTAGAAAATTGCTTTAACAAAGTCATCCTTCCACCCTTGTGGCGAGGAATTACCCAGTGATGCTTACCGTTGTTTGTAGGGTCAAGGTTTTCTCCATAAGTTATTACTCTACCGACCAAATGACACGCTGAAGACGCCCATTCACACTACACCTTGTTTGCTGAGTCCATTACTACTAAAGACCTACGAAACACCTGTGTGGGTTCATCATTCTCTTGATGGGACATTAGTTTGTGTGCCTGGGACGTGAGTGTTTCGTCGTTCCTTATTTGGAAAGGGACAGTGGCTGGCGGCTTAGGGTAAAAGTAGCCGGCGCTTTAAGTGAAGGTGGTATGACAAGCCTCACACCTGTCACTTCTCACTCGTCCAATGCGCAAAGCACTATACTTCAGACAATTGACTTGATGTCAACGAATCAGTCAATTGAGTGTCATCATGCAGTTAGAGTAAAGGTATTACTTGAGAGGAGAGGAGAGGAGGCTCCTTCTTCGAGTCAGCTGCAAAGGTTTATGCGTGCTCAGAGGCACCTTAACACGTTTTGACGAAGACTGCGGGATGAGATGCAACATGAACACAGAAGGCTTTTACTTATAACCAGGATTGGCAACGTGGCTGTTCTACTCTGCTAGGCAGATTTTAATGTCCTACAATAGCAGAAGTGCCAACGAGGGGTAAGCAGTACTACTGTCGATTCAGGCAAGCATAAATGAAGGCTTGATGGGTGATGTACTACTCTTCCGGCTGATTGTTTACTTTGTCAAATTAGGATCATGGATCAGAAAATGCATTTGTCCACTTCTTGGTTGCCGAACTGAGCTTTCCCATTGACCGAAATCGACGTGGATATTTTCAGCTGCGAACTGTTCATTTTACGAACAACAAGATCTGTTCGTGCCGCAACAGCTTCGTTAACCTCACCTTTATGCATTTGCTTCAAAGTCACCTGAAGAGGAGGATATATTGGCATAAATCCACTCTCAGGCTCTCGAATTGAAGAGACCCTCCAAAAGGCACTGACCGGTTCCGCATACACCACTTGGTAGGCTCCGTTGTGTCCTTCGTGCTTCTTCTCACTCTGATGGCAAATGTGACGGGAATTATACTGCCTCAAAGAAATCGTGCTTTAACAATCGCAACTGGCATGACTGTTAGCTCTCACATCACTCCAGAATGAGCTAGATCTTGGAACACAAATGCTGTTGCTTGAAGTACTACACATCGAATTCAGTCAGGGGTAGACATGGCAAATTCGGCTACATGCACTGCACTAGCTCACATGCCCTGGGTAGATTTCGATGAGAAACATGTTGCACGAAGAAATCAGTATCTTTACTTCCCTATTTGACATATCCATTAAGTTTCGCATCATCTTTGACTATTCTTGAACTTAAACCTCAGCTGTTGCTGCTTCTTATAGTACACATTACCATGTCACAAGAAACCGTGTAGGAGCTGGCTTCTTGCCCTTCTTCACGGAGGTTACTAACAAAGTTCAGTTGGACAAAAAAAATTAGTTTACTGTAAAAATATCGTGACAGTAGTGAATAGCCTTTGTGGAGGGACCTAACAGAGCATTTGGTAGGTAAATCACATTGCTGTCAAACAATGACAAATCTTTGCTCTCCTAACGCCTATTGGGAAAGCAAACTTCCTGGTGGTCACA